TACCCAGCAACACTAAGGTGTTGGTAAAGGCTTACCATCTAGCTTTGCCCCTGCTTTCTTTTTCACTGAGATTGCCGTTTACCTACCAGCTTTTCTACTCAGTAACTGGACTCCTATAAATGGGATCTGCTTTAATTGACAGAGAAATCTACAACAGTTTTTCTACTACAACCTTGATCTACAGTGGCTGTGACCCGCTGAAACCTCCCAGCAGATCTACAGCAGCATGATGTCTTTCTTTTCCTCAGAGGACTTCCAAAAAACACTTCTCCACAAGATCACCGTTTCTGAAACTAAAATGTTTCGACCAGAAGTCAACTGGGAGTAAATGGATTGTTAGGAAATGTCGACACCCTCTCATCTACTCAGATCGTTGGACCAGTGGACGGTGGCACACAGTCAGGAAGTAGCAACAACGCTCCCACAAAAAGGTCAGAGGGCACTTTGCCTCTTGATAAATCTGTGAGCAGTCCTCCTTGGAATACTCTTGGTGCCAAGCCAAAGAATAAATCAGATCCCTGAGGAGCGAGAGGAAGACAACCTGCTTGAACCACAGCCTCATATCTAGAAATCACAGATTCCAAAGACTGGCCAGCTGCCTTCCCAACATCATGATAGCAGCTCACGACAACAAGGGACTGGCAAAATGAGGATTAAGATGAAAACCAGAGGAATGTCTCATCAATCAAGCATTCAGCTCCAGAACAGATTCATGCCGCTGCTTAATGATCTGGAACCAGATGAACTGGAAAGCCCCCATCACCCCCTAAACGGGGTGAGAAATGAGCGTATAAGCTCTGATGCTGAGCCTCAAACTCTGATAGTGGGCGACTTTCATGTGAAGAATGTGAATTTAATGGGCAGAAACACTAGAACATGCTGCTTTCCCGAGGACACAGTCGCTGATATGAGAGACCTAGCGGCTGATCAGGGGCCTCATTTATCAAGCTAGCTTACGCACAAAATTGGGTCGGAAAACTGCGTACGCAACTTTCCACGCAAACTTTGGGATTTATTGGAGAAAACGTAGCAGAAAAATGTGCGCAACTTTAAGTTGACTAAGGACCTGGCTTACGCACATTTTGGACATGGAGAGCACCTGCAGTGCTGCTGCTGAGAAGATACAATTATGAAATCCTGCACCATTATCACTTGTACTTCTTTGTTTTCACACAGAACAAGACCCCCCACACGCACACACACACACACATACACTCACGCGCGCACACACAGCGCAGAAAACAGAATGCAGAATATCAGCAGGGGGACAAATTGAGACAGAATGTCATGCGTGTGTGACAGTGTGTGTCCTGTCACTGTGACCCGATCGATCATGCGCCCTGGCTACTTGTACAGGGGAGATCTCCATTTGGGTGACTGGTTAGCGCATGTGACTTTCACCCGGGAGTCTGGGGATTGAATCCTGATTGGACCATTTTTATATCCGCCACAGATCTCTCTGAAGAATTCACAACATTGACGGCTTCAGCAACGCTGTGCCACTCCGTGGATTTTCTCTTATTTGTTAAAAGCACTTCCTTTCATTTCTCCACCTCACCCACAGGTACCTCAACTTCCGCTTGTGAAATAGCGCTTCCTTGATCTGTCTTGATCTACGGTCGCCATCGTCATTGGCTGAGCACTGCAACAGCCGGCTTATGTATATGCATGAGATCCACAAGGCACTTTGCATTGACCATTTATGGCAGTAAGTGGGCGTGGTGAGGGCGGGATGTGACTAAAAAGCAGCTGAGAAACATTCTCGTTAGTCTCTGATTTATGAGGCGGAGATTGCGTGCAGCTGTGCGTCCTCCATGTTTGATAACCTACTTGGCGTAAGTACTTTTTTTTTGCTGAGCTTAAGTACGGTTTTAGTAAGGATTCTATGCAATGTTTGATAAATGAGACCCCTGCTCATTATTCATGTTGGTGCTAATGACATCAGGGGAAGGCAGTCACAGATGCTGAAGCAGGACGAGGTGAATGCTTGTCTTAATGAAACCAGTTTGGTCAGGGTGTATTATGAAGGGGGTTACCTTCTCTAATCTTTTGGCCAGGGCTTTACAAATTATTTTGAGATCAACATTAATAAGAGAAATTGGGCGATAACTGGTAGGAAATGCCGGGTCTTTGCCTGGTTTTAACAAGAGACTAATATTGTCTGAGTTCATGTTTGGCTGTAATCTGCTGCTCTCTTCGATTTCCCTCACCATTCTGAAAAATATTGGAGCCAGAATGATCCAGAATTCTTTGTAGAATTCTACTGGGAACCCGTCTGGACCTGGAGCTTTCCTATTCGTCATGGATTTAAGGGCTTCCTGGAGCTCCACTGATGTTAGTGGCGAGTCCAGGACTGCAACTTGGCTGTCTGATTAGGAAGTGTTATCCTGTCAAGGAACTCATTGATCTCATGATCTGAAGGGTTTATCTGTGGTGAGTACAAAGTTTGGTAAAAGTCTCTGAAAGTGTTGTTTATTCTTTCAGGATCATAAACTATATTCCCGGTTGAGTCTTTAACAGCAGATATGGTAGTTTTCTCTTTATTTATTTTTAATTGGCTAGCTAAGAATTTACCTGATTTATTACTATGTTCAAAGTTTTCTATTCGTAGTCTTTGTGCTAAAAACTGTGTCTTTTTGTCAATAATTCCAGGAAGTTCTAATTTAGCTTTACGTAATCTGCTCATTAACTCTTCTTCTGTGATTGCCTCTAAAGACTTGATGATTTCTTCTAACTCCTGAATACGTTTGTTTTCCGTTTTTTTCTTATGTGATAAGAAAGAGATTATTTTACCTCTCATCACTGCCTTTCCTGCCTCCCAGAGAATAGGTGCTGATGTTCCAGGCAGGTCATTATGTTCTAAATATAAAGCCCACTCCTTTTTAAAAAATTCTATAAAACCTTCGTCTTTGAGCAGTGATGTATTAAACCTCCAGTATTTGCTTGGTGGGATTGTCTTCTTATTTACCAGAGTTAAAGAAACTGGAGCATGGTCGCTGACAACTATGGGGTGTATCTCAGTGTCTGAAATGTCAGCCAACAATGAGCTGCTGACTAGAAAATAATCCAAACGTGAATGAGAGTGATGGACGTGTGAAAAAAAAGTATACTCTCTACGGTTAGGATGAAGAGATCGCCATGCATCACAAAGCCCATAATCACTCATATACTGTTTAACTATGTTAGTGGATTGCGCTGAGTCCCAGCTGTACTGAGCCTGTCTGTTGAAGTATCCATCCAAAAATTAAAATCGCTTCCAAGTATAAGTGGACAGTCCAAGTGTTCGAACAGAGAAAAATTTATGAAAGAATGAAGGGTCATCCATATTTGGACAGCTTATGCTGACGATAAATAAGCTTTGGTTTTGTATAGATATTTTTAACATTATAAATCTACCCTCTGGATCTGAAACTGTGTCCAATACTGTGAAATTGATGTTTTTGTGTATTAAAATAGCACCACCTCTTTGCCCAGTGTTATAGCAGGCAGAGAACATGCTGGGAAACTTAAGTTCATCTGCAGATGTGGCAGATCTACGAGTCTCTTGTAATAATATTACATCTTCTCTCTGGAGCCAGCTCCATGTACGTTCCATTGGTAAGAATTCTTGACATAAGCCACTTCAGTCGTGTGTTGGTGGTACATCCCATGTAGGGGTTTGTCTTCTCACTATGGTATTTCCAGAGACGCTCTGAACAGCGGGCCTGAGGTTATTAAAGGTCAGACTCGCGGTGCGCACCACCCTTGCTTCTAATGAGAGTAACAGCTGCAGATGGAAATTTGTTCAAACCAAATCACGGGAGATTTCCAAAAAATTGAAAGACTGTGTGTTTATTGTGGTTAAAAAAGCCGAACGTCATTTAAAGTAATTAGTGTTAACGAGCTGTTAACACAGACATGACTTTACTGTCACCAGAATTATTTACTGAAGCTGTTTCTCTGTTCAACATCAGGTCCTGAAACTCGAACTAGGTCCTTATAACCGACATTACCCCGTCTTAACTCCTTAAACCACGCGCTACAGCAGCCTCTCCGAAGCGGACGCAGCTTGACAAAATTCATGCACAGTTGCGGTTGGCCTAAATGGATTATTGATAATATGATATCAACCATATATTAGTGTGCAATAATTTATTTGAGTATTCATTAAGAATAACACATCCTAGCACAATTTTTGATAATGTTAATTATAATAATGAAATATAGATTTTTCCAAGTGCTCCCTTTAATGCGCTCATGGACGACCTGGGGTACACATACTTCTGGTTGGGAATCAGTGTTTTACAGCTCCAAGCCTTAAATGATCCATGAGTGTGGCATTGAGTCATAGGCCTTCTTGTACAGGTTGGGCTGTCGGGCATGGGCGACATCGGCAGCTGGTGTTTGACTGTCTGCCGATGCCCTTCCATGCTGCACCTATGTTCCCACTTATCTTATGTCTGATGTGAACTTCCATGTTGGGGCCAATAGTGCCCTTTGAGGGGTCCTTTAGAAGCTGGTTTCTTTTTGCTGCCGAGCGCTTATGGACTGCTTCATACCCGAGATGCTTTCTTGGATGTTTTGAAGTAACCATTCTTCCTGCATTCTCTGCATGTAACCCCTCTGATGGAGTAGTAGCCTTCCGACAGATGCAGGTTCTCACATCTCACCCATTTCCGTCTTGTTCCAATGGCTCACTTTCATCAGGGTGCTCTGGTTCCCCAGCACCTTTTACTCCCAGTTGCGGACATTTCTTCCCTCATATCCCATTCAATAACAGTTTTAAGAAGGTCTAAGTTGAACAGAATAAAACAATAAAGTGCAGGAAGCTGACGTCAATAAGGTTCCATCCAGGCACACCAAAGGAATATTTCTAGGGAAGGATTTGAGCTCAGTAACCTAGGATTGCCTTTTGACCTAAGAAATAGGAACTTCTTGTGCAACTGGAGTTATAGTACTATTTCCTAAAACAGGCAGCTGTGATGTGTGCTTTAGCTCTAAGGATGATGGAGGAGGACTACCTGTGTTTTTGGATGAAGGAAAATAACTCCATTCTGGTTGATGCTGACCATGCAGGGGGAGGGAAAACCCTGCAGACTGACCTTCTGGGCCAAGAACACGTTGGAGCCAAACAAGTGCAGGCTGCTCAGGAGCTCTGAGATAGAAGGAGTCAAATAGAAAACAGTGTCCTAACAAACAAGACATCAAAGAAAAAGAAGTTTCTACTCACCAATGAATCGAATTTTGGCTTCCTGCGGGCTGATCTGCTGCTTGGCAACTATCTGACTCCGGCAGAAGGACTGAATCTCTTCAGCTTTGATGCTGAGTCGATCTTGTGAAGGCAAGTACCCTTTGATCTCTGGCCTTGTGAGGAAAACATAGTCTGCATTACCACACAGGGTAACCATTGCACCAGTAACACAGAGTTTATGGTTTGATTCAGAATCTGTAATGAGAAGATGGATAATGCAACCGTAAGACATCACAAGCCAGTGATTCTTTGTGCCGGTCCCAAGTCCAGATGAATGTAAAAGATTGTGTCAGGAAGGGGTTTCTAAATAAAGCCTAAACCAAATCAAATGTGAATCACAAACAGGCATCTCATACTGAATCGGTCGAGGCTCAGGTTACCGACCACCAACGTACAGGGTCAGTGGAAAGTAGACTACTGTTGGTCAACAGAGGATGGGAGGATGGGAGGAAGGTGTGTTCGAAGATGAGGACAGAACTGGAATATAAGGACTCTGAATGTTGGAACTATGACAGATAACGCTAGAGAGCTGGTGGATAGGATGTAGAGAAGGAAGGTGGACAAGCTACGTGTGGAAAGGTAGCAAGGCTAGAAGTTTAGAAGGATTAAGCTGTTCTACCATGTTGAAGATGGAGAGAGAAATGGAGGAGTTATCCTAAAGGAGGAGTTTTCCAGGAACGTTCTGAAAGTGGTGTGTTGAAGAAATAACGAGACATCTTGCCCCGTAGTTAGGACATCAGAAGCTGAGAAGACCACTATGGAGTGAGCTAGATGATCTGATGCAGTGTATCCTAGAGATAAGAACGTGGTGATTGGTGCAGATTTGACCAGATATGTTGGTGATGCATTCAGTGGTGATGGGAAAGTGATGGACAGGTTTGGTATCCAGGATGGGAGCAAAGGACTGATGGTGGTAGACTGTTGTAAATGCTTTCCTTATGAAAAGGATACGGTAAGAGGGAGGAGCACACCGGTGGACTAAATGTTATGTAGACGTGATTTGAAGGAAATCAGCTGTAGGTAGGTGAGGGAGTAGTGAGACAGCACAGAATGGTGGTCTGTAGGACAAAGGTGACGGTAAGCATCTCAATTATTTTAGATTACTTCTTCCCAGGGAGCATCCATTTTTAGCTCTGTGGACAGATGTAATCGTGTTTACTGATCACAGTTACAACTCAATAACATTAGGTGTAAAAACTTCAACTTATAAATGAGATCAGAAACTTAACCTGGTCAATTCTGCTCACTTATGGTTCTAAGTTTAGACATTTTTTCATGTGTCAGTAGGTGACGTAATGGCCACATGGTAGATGTTTTATTACACTCAATGCGGTTAAGTACCCTTTAAACTAAATACCTTATTGTTTTTTCATTATTACCAAGTTTGATTTCATTCTAAACGTTTTTGGGTCTATAAATATTCACTATTAGGTTATTTAGGCAAGGCAGCTTTATTTCTAGAGCGCATGTCAAACACAGAGGTAGTTCAATGTGCTTTACAATCATCAGGACATGATATGAAAACACATAAAACACAAATTTAAATACACACAGATAGAATTACAGTTTAGAGCTAAAGGAGAAGACGAAGTTACATCAGAGATTAGAGTGGAGACGATGGAGCATAAGAAACAATTCATGTAAAGGTGATGAGTACATGAGGGTTTTAGTTTTGTTATAAACAACTCTAGGGTTGGGGCACGTCTGAGGTCATGGGGAAGCGGAGTCCATATGTGAGCAGCGTAGTAACTAAATGCATCTCCACCATGTTTGGTTCTGACCCGAGGTTCTACCAGCTGATTGTTACCTAAGGATCTCAGAGCCCTGTTGGGTGTGTATACAGGAATGAGATCAGACATGTAGTTTGGTCCCATGCCATTGCGTGATTTATAAACCAGTAGGAGCACTTTGAGTCTATTCTGTAGTTTACTGGTAACCAGTGTAGGATCTAAGAACAGGAGAGATGTGCTCCGGTCTCTTGGTTCTTGTTAAGACTCTAGCAGCAGCGTTCTGAACAAGCTGCAGCTGCTTCACAGCTTTTCTGGGAAGACCAGTTAGGAGACCATTGCAGCAGTCCAGCCGACTAGAAATAAAAGCATGAATGAGTTTCTCTAAGTCTGGTCTGGACACGAGACCTCTGACTCCTGATGTTTGATGAAGGTGATAAAACGCTGATCTAGTTATAGCCTTCATATGTCCAGAGAAGCTCAGGTCTGAGTCAATGATGACACCAAGATTTCTAACCTGGTCTCTGTCTTTATTCCCCTGGAGTCCAGCTGAGCAATAACATCCATCCTAACCTTCTTGTTGCCAGAGACGATAACTTCAGTGTTGTCTTTGTTTAGCTGAAGGACGTTCGACTGCATCCAGTCGTTTACTTGTTCTAGGCACTGACAGAGTGAGTCCAGTGGACGACAGTCACTAGGTGATAGGGCAATGAGTGACACAGACGGCTAACCTTGGCCCACCATTGTGGAATAATCACAGCGCTCTATGGGCTTGAAACCCATCTAGAGAGATGTGATTGGCCAGACAGAATGCTGCTAGGGGCTGCAGAGGTTCCAATGGGGCGCTCCTAGACCAAACTCTGCAAGGAAAGTATTTGATCTAGTTCACTAGGCTAGGAGAAGAGATGAATGAAGAAGAATCCACGAATGAATGAGAGGGACACAAGTAGGACAGCGATGTCACATGGAGAAGAAGTAAAGATAGTAGAGGACAAAAGACTACCTGCTGACTAACGTCTGAAGGATGTTTTTTTCCAAGTTTTTTAAAGAGGTTAAATGTTTGAGAATATGACCTGGCCGAGATGTCCGGGGGCAGTGCAAAGGGAACAAACAGACCTCAGTTAAGACCAAGAGCACTGGAGCAAATACAGGAAGAGAAGACCAACAACAGAGCATGTACGAGCAGATAACCCTAACACATTTTAACAGTCTACTCACACTGAGGGCTGGTGCTTCAAACCCTGGGCCAGATGTTGCAGCGCTGCCATCTCTGCAGCCTGCTGGACTGATGAGGAGCCTCCGGGAGAAGAGGACAGCACCAACTTTCCACTAATGTAGTCAGCCAGGAGCTACACACACACACACACACGCACACGCACACGCACACGCACACGCACACACACACGCACACACACACACACACACACACACAGTCAGTTACCAGGTCAACGTTAAAACTCTGGTCCTCGCTGCTGTTGAGGCTCCTCCCACCTGCTGATAGTGGAAGTCCACATAGAAGTCATTCCTGAAGGAGAGAGGGCTTCTCCAGATCACTCTCTTCAGAGACAAGGAAATGGAGCCATCATCCAGTAGGAAGTCAAACAGGTACTCTTCGGCGTGGAGAGGACGCACTAAACCATCTGACACACATCAGCAAAAGAAAACTGATCCAGCGACTGTGACTAACCGGCTGTGGAAGGATACATCTCTAAATCCACAGTGGACAGTGACCGTGAGCAGCCATGTCCATGCTTACCAGGCTGGATGGTCTGTCTAATATTAGACATGAAGCTTTGAACCAGTAGGTTGGCCCAGGGCCCAGTGGAGTTTACTTACCCTTCTGTCTGTTGGCCAGGAGAGAGAACTCCTGGATTTCTGGAAGATCTTGTATTCCCATGTCTTTACACAAATCAGTGACCACATCAAATGCCATCTGTAAGGAGATAAACACAGGAAACCATGGAGGACTATACATGAACGAAGGAGGAAGAGGGGGTTTTGAAGGACAAGTAGATTTTACACTGAAGCTTTGGATCTTGGCAGGGACCTCTCGTCTACCTGGGAGGTGGATGGAAACACGGCGAGACGTTTTGCCAGTCTGTTGACAACAACATCGTCACCATGATATCTGCTGAGAAGTCATTAAACTGTGAGAATACAAAATTAAAAAATCTCCTCACTAGAATGGCCTCCATCTCGATCTGAGACGGCATGCTGCGGCGACCTCCGCAAGCGATCGAGCGCTGGAGGTTACGTTCACACACAGAGGCTAGCTCTAGAGGAACAAAAGGGCGACTTGAAGCAGCTAACGGAGGACTTGGGAAGGACTTGTGTTTTATTTCTCTACCTTGATAGGGGTGCTCATAATCCTGAACAATCTCTTGTAGGTGTTGTGTGACATAGGGCTGGAGGACATCGGAGCACGGGAAGAAGCCACTCACGAAGTTTAGCAGCCGCCAACCAAAGGTACAGCTGGATCTGCAGACATGACATTTGACTCTAAATAATTAGCAAAGTAATGCTTATTTAAACACAGTTAATTAGTTTTATACCATCAACATGAAAGACAGAGAGGACACAACTAAACTAGCACATTTAGAGGATGAGCCTTCTCACTTAGCATCATTTAGAAAAGATTTTCTTGATTTAGTAGACACCATTTGGTCACAACCTGCCCTGTCTCCTCGTTCTGTTCAGTCCTGCGTCTCTCCTGATTGCTACCACCTGTCTCTCATCTCCCAATCACTGTAGATCCCAGCTCCTCGCATATTTAAACCCTCCCAGTTCTGTGTTCCTGGTCTGTCCTCTTTAAACGTTCCTGCCTGCCTTCTTCCCCGCACCTGGATCCTCACCTCTGCTCGACTCACCTGCGCACCGTGACACATTTCAGCCCTGTGGAGGAGGTCAACAGAGGCAACAGCTGAGGATACACTTAGGAACTGAAAAGGTGCTGCTCATAAAACTAGAATATCATGACAAAGAAGATTTGTTTCAGTAATTCCATTAAAGTAAGGAATCTTGTATATTAGATTCATTCATCACACACACAGTGATCTGATGTGGATGATGTCTTTAGTTGAAGAGTGGCTTGACACCAGGACCGCAGCAGCTGAAACCATGTCTTGCATACATCTGTGGGTGGTGGTTCTTGAAGCACTGACTCTAGCTGCAGTCCACTCTTTGTGAACCTCCTCCACATTTCTGAATGGGTTTTGTTTCACAAGCCTCTCCAGGGTGTGGTTATCCCTGTTGCATGTATACTCTTTTCTACCACATCTTGTCCTTGCCTTCACCTCTATTAATGTGCTTGGACACAGAGCTCTATGAACAGCCAGCCTCTTTACCAATGACCCTTTGTGTCTTGCCCTCCTTGTGCAAGGTGTCAATGGTCGTCTTTAGGACAACTGTCAAGTCAGCAGTCTTCTCCATGATTGTGCAGCCTACAGAACTAGACTGAGACCATTTGAAGGCTTCTGCATGGGTTTTGAGTCAATCAGCTGATTAGAGTGTGTCACCGGGGGGTCTTCAATATTGAACCTTTGCACAATATTGTAATTTTCTGATATCCTGAATTTGGGATTAAGAGAAAAAAGAGAGATAAAAAAGAGAGATCATATCTCTCCTGTCTTACCTTCCCTACATTGGCTGCCTGTTAAATTCAGAATAGATTTTTTTTAACCGTGTCCTGTCTGGCTGTGAAGCAAGCAGAATTGATGTCTGAATGCTGGCAACAAGCCTTACAGATTTATTCTCAGGTGGAGCATCAAAGCGTGGGCAAACGTGGGCAATGACAGTGAGACCTGGAGAGGTGTGGTTGGGAGGAACGGCCCCCCTGATCTGAATTCGAGTGGTGTTTTGTTATTGGACTTCTGTGCCAGTCATGGATTGTCCATAATGAACACCATGTTCAGACATAAAGGTGTCCATATGTGCTCTTGGCACCAGGATACCTTAGGCTGCAGCTCGATGATCGACTTTGTTGTTGTTTCATCTGACCTGCGGCCGCATGTCTTGGACACTCGGATGAAGAGAGGGGCAGAGCTGTCAACTGACCACTACCTGGTGGTGAGTTGGCTAAGATGGTGGGGGAGGATGCCCGTCAGACCAAGCAGACCCAAACGTATCGCGAGGGTCTGCGGGGAACGTCTGGCAGAGTCTCCTGTCAAAAGGAGCTTCAATTCCCACCTCCGACAGAACTTCCAAAATGTTCCGGGGGAGGCGGGGGACACTGAGTCTGAATGGACCCTGTTCCATGCCTCCATTGTTGAGGCGGCCGACCAGAGCTGTGGTCGCAGGATCATCAGTGCCTGTCGTGGTGGCAACCCCCGAACCCGCTGGTGGACACCGGTGGTTAGGGATGCTGTCAAGCTGAAGAAAGAGTCCTATAAGGTCTTTTTGGCCTGTGGGACTCCAGAGGCAGCTGACGGGTACCAGCAGTCCAAGTGGAACGCGGCTTGAGTGGTCGCCAAGGTAAAAACCCAGGCATGGGAGGAGTTCGGTGAGACCATGGAACAAGACTTCCGGACGGCTTCGAGGAGATTCTGGTCCACCATCCGGCGTCTCGGGGGGGAAGCAGTGCGCTACCAACACTATCTATAGTGGAGACGGTGTGCTGCTGACCTCTACTCAGGACATTGTGGATCAGTAGGCAGAATACTTCGAAGATCTCCTCAATCCCACCCACACGTCTTCCAGTGAGGAACCAGAGTCTGGTGGACTTTGGGTTGGCCTCTCAAATCTCTGGTGCTGAGGTCACTGAGGTGGTTAAAAGCTCCTCTGTGACAAGGCTCCAGCGGTTGATGAGATCCGCCCGGAGTTCCTTAAGGCTCTGGATGTATCGCGTGGACATCGGGGGCAGTGCCACTGGACTGGCAGTCCGGGGTGGTGGTCCCCTTATTTAAAAAGGGGGGCTGCAGGGTGTGTTCTAACTACAGGGGGATCACACTCCTGAGCCTTCCTGGTAAGGTCTATTCAGGGGTTCTGGGGAGGAGGGTCTGTCGGATTGATGAGCCTCAGATTCGGGAGGAGCAATGTGGTTTTCGTCCTGGCTGTGGAGCACTGGACCAGCTCTATACCCTTAGGGGGATCCTGGAGGGTGCGTGAGAATTTGCCCAACCAGTTTATATGTGTTTTGTGGATTTAGAGAAGGCGTTTGACCGCGTCCCTCAAGGAGCCCTGTGGGGGGTACTCCAGGAGTATGGGGTACCAGGCCCTCTGATACGGGCTGTTAGGTCCATGTATGACCGGTGTCAGAGCTTGGTCCATATTGCCGGCAATAAGTCGGGCTCATTCCCAGTGAGAGTTGGACTCCGCCAAGGCTGCCCTTTGTCACCAATTCTGTTCATAACCTTCATGGACAGGATTTCTAGGTGCAGCCAAGGTGTGGAGGGCGTCCATTTTGGTGGCCTGAGGATCAGGTCTCTGCTTTTTGCAGATGATGTGGTCCTGTTGGCTTCATCAGAGCGTGATCTTCAGCTTTCACTGGAGCTGTTCACAGCCGAGTGTGAAGAAGCTAGGATGAGAATCAGCTCCTCCAAATCTGAGACCATGGTCTCTATTCGGGAAAGGGTAGAACGCCTTCTCCGGGTCAGGGATGAGGTCCTGGCCCAAATGGAGGAGTTTAAGTATCTCGGGGTCTTGTTCACGAGTGAGGGAAAACTGGAGCGTGAGATCGATAGGCGGATCGGTGCTGCGTCTGCAGTGATGCGGGCGTTGTACCGGTCTGTCATGGTGAAGAGAGAGCTGAGTCAGAAGGCAAAGCTCTTGATTTACCGGTCGATCTACGTTCCTACCCTCACCTATGGTCCTGAGCTTTGGGTAGTGACCGAAAGAACGAGATCGCAGATACAAGCGGCCGAAATGAGTTTTCTCCGAGGAGTGGCTGGGCTCTCCCTTAGGGATAGGGTGAGAAGCTCGGCCACTCGGGAGGGGCTCGGAGTAGACCCGCTGCTCCTTCACATCGAGAGGAGCCAATTGAGGTGGCTTGGGCATCTGATCAGGATGCCTCCTGGACGCCTCCCTGGTGAGGTTTTCCAGGCACATCCAACTGGGAGGAGACCTAAAGGTAGGCCCAGGTAGACGCTGGAGGGACTATGTCTCTCACCTGGCCAGGGAACGCCTTGGGATTGGCCCAAGTGGCTGGGGAGAGGGAAGTCTGGGCCTCTCGCCTTAGGCTACTGCCCCTGCGACCCGGCTCCGGATAAGCAGATGAAAATGGATGGATGGATGGACGAAAAACTAAATTAGTTGTCAGTTAGAATCAGCATTAAAGAAATAAACATTTGAAATATATTTTATGACCAGCACCTGTTTATTAATATTCTTCAACCTGCCTGACACAACTTCCTTAGGGGGTGGTGGTACCCAACCATCAAAGACGAACCAGAGTGAGGTCCCACTCCTCAGCTTCCCCTGGGAGAATCTATGTTTGACTGCTGGAGAGGAGAGTTCTACTCAGCTTCAGGAGGAGCAATCTGGTGTTTGTCCTAGTCAAGGAGCAGCTTGCTACTGTAGTGGCCTACCAGTTGATCTTGACCCTCAGCTGCCATCTCGAGCTGTGGTCAATGACCCAACAAGTGGCTGAATAAGCTTCTTCTGTAGCGTAGACTAGCTTTTAGGTATCGGTAGAGGAGAGACATTTTTAAACCCACTGAAACTCACCTAAGTGAGTTGTTGGTGGTTTGCTTTATGACCTGGCAGTAGATTTCATCTCTCAGCATTTCTTTTTCTTTTCCTAGCTGAACAGAGAAGAAACCCTTCATTTACATCCACAGTCGTCACGCTAACAGATAAACTGTAGATGTGAGCTCTGACCAGCAGAATATGACTCAGGCAGTTGACTTGACTGGTGTTCTTCTTCATTGGAGCATCACCCATGAACTGCATCAGGTCTACAACAACAAAGAACATGGTGGGTTATCTAATTCCTGAACAGTGTCTGAGAAGTAGTGCAGAGTGGATGAACTCACTCGTGAAGCAATCGACAGCCAAACTGTTGATTTCAGGATCAGTGTAGTGGATCAGTGACTCCTGGATGGGGACCTAAACAAATCACACAGCAGGGCGTTTTTCCCGTCAGTTCAGAGACGTGGTTCCTGACCATCAAACACGGATGCTAATTATTCCTCAACACTATCTGAATGGTGGTAAGGAGCTGTGGCATCTTGGCGTTTGGGGCTAGTGCGAATCCAAAGTTACATGTGATGAAACATGTTTGCAGTTACAAAACTGGGTACAAGTTACGCTGAATATTGTCCCAATCCTAGTTCCATATGTGGCCAGCTCCCACCAAATGGTGCTGTGGACCTATGTGCTCACGTATAAGTGGGGAACAATAGTTTGTTTTAAAGAAATACTGTTTAACCCGTTCTGTCACCAAGAAGTTTCTGTGAGGAACATATCCAAGTCCAGAGGTAGGGAACCTATGGCTCGCGAGCTGTATGTGGCTCTTTTGATGACTGCATATGGCTCTCAGGTAATTCACAGAAACCACAGTGTTAAACACAAAAAACATTCTCATGCATTTTAACATCCATCCAGTTTTTACCGCACCTGCTTAAGCAACACATTCTCACTCCCAGCGCGTCAAAAACAAACGCTTGGTCAGCCACCCTCCGTGTCAAACCCCTGACGCCAAAAGTGCCCTTTTTCGTCACTTATGTACAAAAAGGGGTTTTGTCCTTTCTGACTGCGTATGCTAATGCAACGTAAAACTGACGGGAACGGATGTCCGCTGCTGCAGCACCAAACCAGCTCATTTAACCGCACCTAAACCTTAATGTTTTGCTATTTATAACCTCACCTCATCCTAACCTTAACCCTCTTGCTACCTAAAACTTTGTTACTCTTACAGTAACCAAGCATTTGTTTCCCATGCATTCAGACTGTGAATTTTCGGATTTGCCGCCCAGGCAAGGGGAACAGTAGAACACACCATCTGGCGATGGGGAGGTTACAAATACCCTCTACTTCTAACCTGCACCTTGGTATTTCAAACCTCCCCCTAGCGTTGCCTCGGTCCAAATCAACTAATTTTATGTGGGAAACAAACGCTTGGTCAATGTAAGGGTAAGGTTTTAGCTAGCAAGATGGTTAAGATTGGGATGGGGATGAGGGGAAGGTTAAATAACAAGAGGATAAGGCTCGGGTGCAGTACAATGAGCTCGTTTGGTGCCCCGGCTGCAGACATCCCATCGCGTCAGTTTTACGCTGCATTAGCATCTGCAGTCAGAAAGGAGAAAACCCCCTTTTCGTACTTAAGTAACGAAAAAGGGCACTTTTGGCATAAATGAGCTAGAGGTGATGAGAAAATGTTGGCCTTATTTAAAATTGCACACGTTTAGTTGTATTCAGTGTTAAAGGAAAAAAAAAAAATATATATATATATATAAAAGTGTTCCTGACCCCTGTCCTAGTCAATCCCAGAACATTTACAAGCTTGATAGGTTGAATCCTCTTGAAAAATGGGGATTGGGGCTGGTCCATCACCCAGGGTGAATTGCCAGCATGAGTAGATAGCCGTGGGGCAGAACCCCTCCAGCATCAAACTCAGACCATCCCATTAGAATACCACACTATGCGTTACATTCTGTGGAACAGCACGTTTTCTTAGCTACCAAGACAAACCAAGGGGAGGGCCGAATGTTGCCTTTTAAACAGAAATTAGAGAATAAACATTTAGATCATTGGACTTTGAAGACTTAAGGTTGTCGTGTAACTTTTCTGTTTAAAGGTGAACTATGTAAGAGTTAGAAAATTAAATAAACACAAAACGGAGCATGTTTGGACCAAATCAACTTCAGGAGGGATGCAGAGCTCTCCTAGACAGGTAGGAACTAGTATTTTGATGTTTGGCCAAACAAAACAGCGGCTTTGTGTTACCCATGTAGCACAAAGCTAACTAGCATCAAAGCTAGCTGTGGTTAGTTGGTGTTTTTGAGTGTCTGTGTTTATGTTTTGTGTTTATTTTTTTACAGAATGTCTACCGACGTGAGGACTGTTCAAACACTCAGTATTTATAACCTCCGAGCGCCCTGGCATCAGCCCCGCTGTCAGAGGCCTTCACATCCCGCAGCCCCAGGACCGAGGCTCCGCCGAGTGGGTGGGCGCCGCTCAACGCCACGGCAGATCCAGCCCTGCTGTTCTCGGTGAGAGAGGTGTTTGGGTGTTGGTAAGAACGTAAAATACTACTAATTATGCTACCTGAGTACAATGTTGGTTAATTTTATTACATAAAAATTGTCCAACATTAAAATCTACATAATTTTAATTTTCTGTTGTTTTACTTTCACAAATTAGCGTGTTATTACCATGAATAAATAATAGCACCTTAAAATGAAAATGATCAGTTTATTACTACCGTGGAAAGAGCAAACAGGATTTATAATCTCCAGTGTTTTACTGAATTGTCTACTCATCTTCAGATTCTAGTTACTGCTAAGCTAAATGCTGTCTTTATCCATTATGAACAAGTTTATCCAGCAGAAAAACAGCTGTTTCAGCCATCATGTGATCAGGGCCGAGTCTAGCATCAGAGGTGAGAGCGTCCCGTCCAAGCATGTTTTTAATAAGAGAAAGATCTGCAGATGCAAATTTGTTCGAACTAAATCACGGGAGCTTTCCAGAAGTTTGGAAGCGTGTGTGTTTATATTTAAACAGCATTCAAGGGATTAGTGTTAACAAGCTGTTAACGCAGAAACGACTTTACTGTCACCAGAATATTTTACTGAAGTGTTTCTGGTAAACATCAGCTCCGTATAACCGACGTTTCCTCGTCTTCAGTACTCCTGAATCCGTGCGCAGCAGCCTCTCCAGAGCCGACGCAGTTTGAAAAAATCCATGCAGTCGTGGTTGGCCTAAATAGATAAAATGATATCAACCACATATAACTGTGTGTTACTTTATTTGAGTATTCATTAAGTACAACACATCCCAGCCCAGTGTTTTTTTTTTTTGCCAGGGCGAGTGCTGACATCATCTGGGTAATGTAATGTAACCCCTGTGTTGCGCTCACTGACCACTAGCGGTACGCATACCCCTGGTTGGGAATCACTGCCTTAGAACATAATTTTATGGTAGAAACATTAAAGTTAATGGGTTTTGTAACATAATGAAAATGTTTTATACAGATATCAACAGTGCAATGTCTCTAAATCCAGGAATGACACCCCGCTTTGTTGTGTCAAGAGGAATCCATCAAGGATGCCCTATCTCACCAAAACGCCTTATTCTGACTACCCAAATGCTAATTTTTTAAATGAAAAATGATCTGAATTTGTATGGAGTTAATGTATTTGATGAAGAACTTAAGATCTGTCAATTTGCTGATGATCCGGCTATCTTTTTACGGGACAAATCTATGGTTGATCCTGCTCTGACCTTGATCTCTGGCTTCTCTAGAGCATCTGGTCTCCTCCTTAACATGAATAAATGCGAGCTCTTACCCAAAATTGCCCTGAGAAAGTTATATCTAATATTAAAGTCTCACGCAAAGTCAAATACTTAGGCTTCAGTCAATCAATCAATCAATCAATCAATCAATCAATCAATCAATCAATCAATCAATCAATCAATCAATCAGATTTTATTTATAAAGCACTTTTAAAGCAAAGTGCAACTCAAAGTACTTTACAGAGTTAAAATAACCCCCAATTCCCATAATAGTTTAAAAGCATGAACACACACACACACACACACACACACACACACACACACACACACACACACACACACACACACACACACACACACACACACACACACACACACACACACACACACACATCAGTGAATTTTTATACTCGGCTGAGTCCAGATGAGCCAAGTTAGGTAAGGCAAGGAAACGCCATCAGAGGAGCCGTCTGCCCCGGCAGCATCAGGTCTTCCACAGCGACTAAGTCAGGGTGCTCAGAGGAGGAGGAGCATAGACCCCCACCTCCACTCAAACACTACCTGTAGAGCGCCCAGGAAGCAACAGTCGACCACCGCTCCTGGGGCAGAGGGCCCCCTCAGAGAAAACACTGGATTTTTCTCTTCTGGCACTCACAGAGCGCAGACGCTTCCCTTCTTGCTCCCTTATCTTTTTTCCCAAGGCTCTTTGTCCCGTCTGCCTACAGAGCGCTTCTCTGCATTTCTTCTGGGATTCCCTATTATTTTTAGAGATGGATTTAATTAATTGGTCATTCAACGCGATTGATGAGATCTTTTCCACGATGAGAACGGAGGAGGGGGCTCCCACCTGTCCTCAAGGGACACATGCAGCGGGATATGCGCTCGATTCCTGGAAGGTCTGGAGGATCGTATGCCTCTCCCAGCTGTCCATTGAGGACGTCGAAGATATGTGGATGCTTGGCCTTATGATCACTGGATTTCTTCTGATTGGAGTGGGAGGATATCTGGTTTTCTGGAAATTTGGGAAGACGGGAGCGATTGGAGGGCGACCCGCACCCACGGAAAGCACCGCCCGGGCGGATGCCTCACAGACTGGGACGTTACTCGAGGTGAACCGTAAGCTGGACAATGTTCTAGCTGCGTTACCAGTGTTAGTGCGCAAAATGGATGTCATCTCGGAGAGGGTCACTGGACGGTGTGGAGATGTTTAATACCTGAATTGGCTTCACTGGAGGAATTGAATGATCAATACAGACTTCAAGGCAGAGTGGAAAATTATCTCTGCCTGACCCAAACAAAGTTCTGTTATCCAATCTGACGCCATAGCAGCCTTGGAGTTGCGTGCAATCAACCCCTACGATGGAAGGAATGCAGACAGATGCTGTGAAAAGCCGTCCTACCCCCCCGCCTTCAGATTGTGGTCTCTGCATAGCGAGGTCATCAAAATGGAGGAAGTCAATGCGCTCTGTGCTTTCCCATGACCTCCCTCCCACCTGTGGATACAGTTAGCTGAGTGCCAAACGGGCTGCTCCCGCTGAGGAAACCAGGTTCCCAGACCCCCCCCCCTCCTGGGTCTCATGTTGTGAGCTGTGACGTTCGTGCTTATATGTTGAGGTGTTTTTTTGCATAGTAGAGCTACTCCCTGCCGGGAG